CAACCAGTGCGTTCAATATAATGATGGACTCGCTGCCATATAAAATTTGCAAAAGTATCTGGTAAACATAGTTAATTTACCGTGTTATGCATTTCGAAATTTGTAGTGAGAATAGGAAAAATGTCATTTTCGAACCGTTATAACTTTGGATTGAATCAACTTATTTCCAATTCCTCTCACGATTCTAATTACTGATTTCATTGAGTACATCAACAGTCATTTCTATTATTTCACCATTTCGGGGTGATATATGATAATTTTCTGAAAATTCAAGATCTTCTCGTTTGACAAGAATTTATTTTTAGGTTTGATTGGGGGCAATGAGATGAAGTATCATAAGTTTTCTCGAATTTGCTCCAGATTCAAGAGGATTCATACAGTATATTTTGATTCATGAAACTTTTCAAAAAATAAAAAACAATTTCGAAATAGCCGCAATGCTCAAAGTAGAATGAAATGTTAAATAAATACAAAAAGCTCAGTCATTTCCACACAATGTTTATAAAATGAACAACAATGGTAGATTTTGTGAGAAAAGCAACTACTTTCCTGGCTAATGCCACGCAGAACATTGAATCACATCCTCCCGAAATCTATGCATCGACTCGTATAAACGAATACTGATACAAGTGATTCTTTCCATAATGAACGCAAGTCGGGCAACCAGCCATTTCCGTATGGGATTTTCAGTTTTGGAGTGATTATTTCCATCTGTTGCTTTCATATTGTCGATGAAAGACGCCTCTGGAAGAATATAATGCCGACTCGATTTTTGTTTGGCTAGGCTGCGCTGAGTCGGCGGTCTCAGGACTGCTGGCTGGAGACTACCCTGCACTGATGGGAGTCAAAGAGCTCGAAACCGGTCTGTGTGTGTCTAGCGTGGCCTGGCTGAATCGAAATCAATAGGCAATCATCACTTGTATAAGTATTCGTTTATACGAGTCGATGCATAGATTTCGGGAGGATGTAATTCAATGTTCTGCGTGGTATTAGCCAGTGAAGTAGTTGTTTGTTGTTCATTTGATGAACATTATGTGGAAATGACTTTGGCCTTCTTGTATTTATTTTTCATAGAATATTGCATTCTGATATGTTCAACCATCGAACTCAACTTCAACAGAATTTTATATCAACGTTTTTTCAACGGTATCATTGTACCATGTTTAGTGAATATTCAAGTACAAAAAATGTTCAGATCAATAAGAAAACAAGAAAAAACAGCGAACACCGAAAAAATCCAAGGGGTGATTCCTTGTGATATTTCAGGAAATAATTTTTTATATTCTAATCAGATTTAACTATTGAAATGATAACTTCTATATCTTCTGTGAGGTTTTTGTATATAGCTCAGTTTCAGAGGAAACAATAAAAATTCGATTTGACTTCAAATTGGGTGTTTCAAGACTTCCATTGAGATTACTCGAAAACCCTAATTAGAATCATTTCGAAATTGTAAGGCTTCCTCAGTCTCCAGTCATACTGAATTTTGGCACTATGAAAGCTTATACAAGGGGGTTATAAATGAAAACAATTCATACTTCGAACTTCAACATCCTGTATCTCAAAAACGGAGCAAGTTAGGCCACATGTTTATATGAACTTTATTTGCTATGATATCACCAGATATCACCAGGAGCCAGCTCTTGATTTTTTTTATCTAGATAGATAGCTATTTCTCAAGATTTCATAACCGCTATGCTCAGAAGAATAATAGAGCTTTCATTACTGCTAGTATAACCTGTAATATGTATCCTCTTTAATCCAAAACTATTTCGTCCTCAATGAAACATAAAAATAATTCCCTGTCAAACAGGCTGATCTTGAATTTCTCGAAAATTATCACATTTCCAGATATTACCCTGTAGGTCTTCATTCATAAACTGTGATAAAATGAAAAATGACTATAGGTATATCGAATGAAATGAGCTATTGGATTCTGGAATGAAGTTTAAAATTGGTTGATCTAATCTAAAAATATAACTGTTCGAAAATGAAAGAAATTTCACCTTGTCCCACTTCAAATGTGGAGCAGTTTGTATAGGTTGACAACCATTATACAGGGTGATTCGAAATTCGATGTGAATATTTCAACGACGTATTGCTGGGATCATAATCAGACTTTTTTTTTCATATAAACTGTGTCCTAAAATGACAAATTACGATTTTTACAACTCTAGAAAATGATATTGTATATCGGTGAATATTTCACTCATCACATATTCTGACCTATCACAAGCTAGAGAACGTGTGCTTATCGTGAAAATATTAGCTGTCAATTCTGATTGGTCTATCAGCCTTGATGTTTTCAACGATTTAACCATGGATAGCGAAGCAGAGTCTGGAAGTCACCATCGATAGCGAAGCAAAGTCTGTCATTCTGGCATAAAATAATCATGGCTGTACTTGTCCAGAATGAATCTCCCATTTAAAATAAATGCCTCTCATACTTCGTGAACGTGAAATGGTCTAAAAAAATACCACTCGATTTGTTCTGGATATCTTCTCATAATTCTGTATTTCATTGTTAACTAAATTTTGTTGCCGTACACAATTTTATTAACAATATAAAGCGACAGAATCATCTCGAATAATCAGAACATCGTGACATTACTTATGATGATATGATCAGGTAGAAAATGCACTGATAAAAGTAGTATCACAGTGAGTATTAAGATTTTTATAGTCCACGTTTATGAGCTGCAAAATATTGAACAAGATCGGTGATAACAATTAACTACTTGAAAACAATAGACCAGGGTCGATAATTTTTCAAAGCAAAAAAAATAATAGTAGGATGAAATCCGTTGAGAAAGGACGAGAATATAACAAAAACGAAACAGAAATGAAAATAAAAACGATTTACGGCTGATCTGAGGTCGGGAGGTGGAAGGGGGTGAGTTTTAAGGTTAAAAAACGGTGTTTTGCGATTTCCGGCAAAACCACAAGTCTTATAGAGAAATATTGAATGACAGAGTTGTAGGTAATAAAAAGACCTACAACTTTTGTAACCACACTTTCTACACATTACCTCAGAATTTTTGTGAAAAATTCAAATAATCAAGTTTTTGTTTTTTTTTTTTATTTTTTTCATATGCAAAAAAAATGTTTCCCACGAAATTTGGTGAAAACTCACTTTTTTATGTCCTGAAGACACTGTAATTTTTTTGTATCGAAATATTTATTTTTTCCCCTTATTTTGACTTAATATCGAAAAAATACCCTAATTTTCAATCGGAAATTCTCACGTCAAAATCAGTGGCGGCTCGTGATTTTCATGACAGAGGAGGCTGGATGATATGAGATTTATTGTGAAAAACAACTCTCTACGACTTACCCAAATCAATAGCTTTAAAGACATTCTGTTTACCAGTTAACCTGAACTTAATACTTGAAGAGATGTGTTCCTGTGATTCGCAATGTCTATCCAATCCGTAAGGCAAATTTTTCAAATCCTTATATCCTAATCGCCACCAACATGATGACTTATCGGTTGAAAATAATACGCAGTATCAACAAAATAGCTTATTCCTTACCTCAGATATAATTATCAGAATTGAACGAACGATTTTGTTTGTTACCTGTTACAATCAGATTTGTTAATTTCGGTGTCGGACGTTTGTTTTTCACAATCAATTTATCTTCATAAGACAGAGCACTGAATGGTTTCACCAAAAAGTATTCCACTGAATCACAATCGTTTAAAACACTCATTTTTCAGAAATTTATAGAGCCCCTAACCATTAACCTAACATAAACATAATTAATGCACCCGCGCTGGATTGTCCACAATTCGCGACGCGACACGACAAACACGTGCCATTCGGTCGTATTCTGGCATTTGCATTGCGCGCGTGGGTTGCGAATTGTGAAGGAGTCTAGCCTCCTATAGATGTTGCCAAGTTGATTATTTTACGCGTGATCTGCAGACTTCAACGTGTGATGCGTGGGCAAGCACTGTTGCCAATTCAAAAATATTTACCTAAAAACAGGAAATAAAATTAAAATCCATGTATTTTGGTTTCCTTTTAATGAGAAAGTGAAGATAATATCAGTTTGAGGAGAATCTCTGAGGAGGCTCAGCCTCCGTTGCCTAGACTGAGGAGCCGCCACTGGTCAAAATATCAGCTTCCTGAAAAAACTTGAGGACTTTTTTGTTCGTTGAAATCTCTTCTTTCTGATAATGTGAAAAAATATATACATCACTATGATAAATAGTGTAGTAGATAGTAGATATGCGATAAAAAAGGGTCTGAGGTGGAAATAATTCCCACAAAATTTTTTCTTGCTTTTCTCCGTTCAGAATGCATAGAATAGCACATATGAGAAAATATAGAATGATACCTGTGTGCAGAATAAAAATACAGTGTTTCCAATATTTGTTTATTCGTTAATACGTATAAATCATATACCTAATAAAAATGGCATATTTGGCATGTAACAGAAGTTCATTCATATTATCTTCAACTTCCTCGATTGGAATATTGGTACCTTCCCGAACAATTATTGCACAATACTGTGCAAAATATTCCGTATCGTCGACATATACATCTGGTTCCACAAGGTTCATCTACTCCAGTTTTGCAAGAACTTCTGTACGTCATCATATGATACAGAAAACCCAAGCTTATGAAGATCATCGACAAGTAACCGAGATCGAAAATCTCGATGATACTGCCAACACCTAGACCTAGACGAATCGAATTCATGATAGATCGTGACCTTGCAGCTTGCATGAGTGCCTGATTATTTGATTTTTTCTCCAAACTTGAGGATTTTTTGTTGATTATTATATCCAAGAATGTTTTCAAAAGCTTATTATTTTCCTGCTCGGAACTTATTTCTTTTGGTGAAGGATAAAACTCTAAGGATGTTCTCATCAACTTGATTAAATTCTTAATCAGTTTAGCTGTTGCTTCAACTATCCGAAATTTTTCAGCATCTGGATCTATTAGCTCTACCTTTTTGTCTTAATATCATAATGTCATCTGAGAGAGATTCTTCTAATTTTTCATGCATACGACGAACAGTGTGTAAGGTTCGATATTTTCTGGCAGCAGCTCTGCTATTTTGTCCAGCAAGTCCTGAACTGAAATTGGTTCATCATTTTCCTTGAGCCACCTGCATATTTCTAATAGGTCTTCTTTATTTTTATCTGAAGGACGTCCTGCTAACTTTGTCTGTTCATTGGGAATATCATGTTGATGTTTCTTAGGAATAGAGTCGCCTTTTCCAAAACTCACACTACATATCTGATTATACAGAGCATCTGCTGCTGGCAAGTATCGATAACGAAAATAAGACGTGCAAGGGCATTTCATGATCAAAAATCGTTTCTTGCATCACACACACATCAATAATAGTTTGTCGAAACGCGATAGTTCGTACTGGTGAAATTGCAGATTTAATTATTTTCTCAGTTTCCTTGATGAATTGGCCACAAAACAAGCATTTATCTTTGAATGCAAATGTCGGCAGCTCAGATCACAAAGCTCTGTTGCTGCTGCTGCTGCTACTGTTGTTCGGATTTACGTACAAACAACGACATTCGACGTGAACAATTAGAGGATGAATAGGCACTGGTTCCAAGAGTTCAATTATTTTGTCTTGCTTCTACTTGCTAGCACTTATAATTCCTTGGACACCTGTAGCAGTCAATTTAACACAATTCGAACTATCATCAGTACTTGACGAAAATAATGAACATTTGTTATCTTCCATCGCTGCTTTCAATTCACTATATTTAGGTATACCTGGAATAATATATCAAATAATGGAACCTTTAATTCACGATCACAGAGAATAGTTTCAATCACATACACACAAATGATTGAATCACACCTCGACACGAATTTTGAGATCTGCTAACTATATTATCATGTTTAGGAAGATTATGGAATTCGTTTGAATCTTATCCTGAAGATCCTAACATAGGTAACGGAACATGTGTTGAGTTGTGAAACAATCATTTCGGTTTGGGCACCTGAAATATGAAAAGTTGCATTAAAACATTTTTGCATGAAAGAATGCATCTATATTTTTAACATAGTGTAAGGGGGCGAATGAGGATTCATAAAATGAAAACTGCGTTTTTGTGGAAATTATTTCCACCCCCATTCCTCCAACTGCTCTACTAAAATGTTCTCAGAAATGCAAGGAAAAAAAACTCGAATCCGATTTTTTTTTATCACTATGTACAATTTTGAGCTATTTAGTGAGATTCACACTTCAATTACATAAAGATTGCAAGGAACATGCGAAAATAGTTGTTCTAAATATTAAAGATTGGACTTAAGGGGGGGATTTCAATAAAAAAATGTGGTTGTTACTTTTTTTTTTAGTCAAAAAGTCGATTTAATGAATTCTAATCACATTTATGTCATAGAAAATTTCATAATATATCAATAGAAATGTAAATCGTACTATTGGATTTAGATACTTAATAATGATTATTATTGATCATAATAATATCTTCAAATGCATTAATCTTCTTATTTATAAATCTCATCCTGAACCCTAATCGCTTATTCATTACTTTTTGTCTCTTCGGTGTCATTTCTTCATCGTTAGATTCTACAAACCTTCTCGATTCTAGTAGATCTTAGAAATCTGCAAGACCATCACCGTCTTCGTAGCCAATATTATTTTTAGTCTGAATTGGTCCTTCATCCACAATTTCATCTGAATCACTAGCTTCCTCGTAGGTTTTTTCTTCCACATTGGTGCATTTTTCAGAATCATGACAATTTGAGCATAAATTTGTGCAATTAAAGCCATGTTTTTGGCAGCAGACGGTGATGGTCTTGAAGATTTCAAAGATCTACTAGAATCGGGAAGGTTTGTCGAATCCAACGATGAAGAAATGCCACTGAAGAGACAAAGAGTAATGAATAAGTGATTAGGGTTCAAGATAAGCTTTATAAATGAGAAGATAAATGCATTTGAAAATATTTTTATGGATAATAATAATCAGTATGAAGTATCTATATTCAATAGTACGATTCACATTTCTATTAAGATATTATGTAGGTAATTAGAATGTAATAAATCAACGTTTTGACTAACAAAAATTGCAGCAATTTTATTATTGAAATCCGTTCTTTCAATCCTATCTTTAATATTTAGAACAAATATTTTCGCATGTTTCTTGCAATCTTTATGATTTATGAATTTGTAACTTTTTTGTTTTTCAATGTCATAAAGAATCTCACGTTTTTCAAGTAATTAAAGTGAACATTTTACAAAATAGCTCAAAATTGTACATAGTGATTAAAAAAATTGGATTAGAGTTTTTTTTTACATTTACTATAGTAATGTATATATTTTTTTACATTATCAGAAATAAGAGATTTCAACAAACAAGAAACATCCCGAGTTAATTTTTTAGAAGCTGATATTTTGACGCGAGAATTTTCGATTGAAAATTGGGATGTTTTTTCGATATTAAGTCAATATAAGGTAAAAAAATAAATATTTCGAATCAAAAATATTACAGTGTCAAGTTTTTGCCAAATTTTTTTGCATAAGGTGAAAATAAAAAACCAAAAACTTGATTATTTGAATTTTTCACATAAATTTTGAGGTTATGTGAAAAAGTGTAATTACAAAAGTTGTAGGTCACTTTGCTATTCAGCTTTTGTCCATAGGGCTCGTAAAACTCACCACCTACCACAACATCACTACGTTGACGATACGCAGTTGTATATTTTTTTTTTCCTTGGATGAAGCGAATCAAGCGGTAACTGATATCAATTATTACTTACATAATCTTTATAAATTTTCAATCAACCACTGTCTACAACTGAATGCATCTAAGACTAATGCAATCATTTTTTGAAGTAAAGCTGAGTCGCAAGAGTTCAAGCATGAATACTCATCAAATATTATAATTAATGGTAATTCTATACAATTTAGTGATAAAGTAAAAAATTTGGGAGTTTGGTTTGATGAGAACTTGAGATTATCGCACCATATTAGTTACTGCCTACAAAAAGGTCTATATGGAGCTCTAAAACTCATATTTCAATCTCGCCATGTTTTGGATGGATCAGTTAAAATCCTACTGTGTGAGTCACTTGGATCATCTAAATTACATTGCTGATGTGACATTATTTATAATTCCTGTTCAAATTCAATAGATGTGAATGAAATACAAGAATTACAAAACTCATGCCTTTTTTGGTATTCGCAAATTTGAACATATCAGTCATACATTCAGAATTACTAAATGGTTACATATGATACGACTGATCTGCAAGATTAGATCATTGAATGATCATTTTTTCCACAAAACTATTTGTGATTCACCTCAGATATTATATTCAAAATAAATCCATATTCTCAAATAATCTGTAAACATTTGTAAAATCCAAGCAGATCACATAACCTCGAATAATTAGTTCATTTTGAGCATGCGTTGCATGAACGGGTAGTCCGCGGCTAGTGAAAATGTAATTTTAATGTAGTGAAAATGTAATTATAATGAATGTTGCATAAATCCGCCTTTAATCTCGCCCTAACTATACACTAACAGAATGTAATTATATCTTCCATTAACTGGTAATGAAGACATTTATTATTATTATTAATATAATTATTATGTCCATTTCATTCTTCCATTTTAGGCAATTCATTTTCTGTTTGTTGTTTTTCTTGATGTTATTTTGATGGCTAGAAAAGTTCATCTTTATAATTGAATTACACAAATCACCCACCACTCTCGAATATCTCCACCTGTTCTTCAGTATAATATATCGTATCCAGGTCCATATCATCCAAGATATCATTTATTTATTTATTTATTTATTTATTTATTTGCATAGGTAGGCAACTCAACAGGTGATTTCACTCACCCAATAACTGAGTTACACAACAAGGAAAACATAATATTACAATGATGTTGATATGAAGTGCAGCACTACTACTATATACTACAGAGTAATAGACTATAAAATAGGTAATTTTCCAATTAAGAAGAAAGAAAAAACGAAATAAAAGATAACCTCATCAGATAGGAAAAAAAAAATAAAAAAAAAATAATAATAATAATAAAACAATAACACATTATCGAGCCTGTATATCCACCTATCAGTACGAGTTTGAAGATTCGAAGTGTTCTCAACAGAATAAAATTGTTTTTAATTTCCTCTTGAAAGTGAGTAGTGCAGTCGAGAACACGTCGATATCATTGTTATCGCATAGCGAAGAGTTGTAACATCTGACACAACGATACATTGGAGAGTTGAAGACAAAGTTGGTACTACTTCTTCCAGATACAAAAAGTAATCTATTTCTTACCCCATAAGGAGTACAGTTCAGAGAGAGTTTATTAGTACAGTATGGAGAATCTATATAATTATTAAGCAATTTGTAAACAAAACTTATATCGAAAAATTTTCTTCTCAAGGAGAGACATTCAATTTTATAAAATTTCAAATTTTCTTCATAAGAAAAATAATGCCTCCATCTTGAAAATCTGAAATTCAGGGTATTGATGAATTTCTTCTGTATTCTTTCAATTCGTTCAATATATACATTGTAAGAGGGGTTCCAGACAATGGATGCATACTCGAGAGATGTCCTAACAATGGAGTTATACAGAACTATGATCGATTCTCTGCTTTTAAAACTGCTTGTCACCCTTAACAAGAAACCCAGATTCCTCAGACTCTTTTGAACAGTTTTTTCAATATGCACATCAAACGCAAGTTTGGTGTCGAGATATACTCCTAGATCTTTTATTAGATTTATGTCAACAATCCGTTCACCATTCAGGTAAAGATCCGAAACTAGAGGAGATTTATTCCTAGTGAAAAGTATTTTATTACATTTATTCAAATTTAATTGAAGTTTGTTCAGTGCACAATATTTCCCGAAGTGATTAAGATCAGTTTGTAAACCCTTATAATCAGTAAGTGAGTTAATATCTTTATACACCTTCAAGTCATCAGCATACAATGCGATTTTGGTGTTTTCAAAACAAGTCTCAATATCATTGAGAAATATATTGAAAAGAAGCGGCCCCAGGTGAGACCCTTGTGGAACCCCTGAGGTAATACGTTTCGATTCAGAATGACAGCTATTTATGACGACATATTGATGACGATTTTCCAAATAAGAGCTCAGAAGTTTCAACAAGTTTCCGTGCACACCGAAATTCCGAAGCTTAATGATAAGGGTCGGATGATGAACCTTGTCAAAAGCCTTCGAAAAATCGGTGTACACAACGCATGTGGAAACACCTCTCTCCATGGTTTCAAGAGTATCCTGTATAAATGGAATCAAATTTGTCAAGATAGATCTACTACCATAAAAACCATGCTGGTAAGAGTTTATAACAGATTTTACTTGGAAAAACAAATTTTTTGTAATGATCGATTCAAAAATTTTTCCTAGGTGGCTCAGAAGAGAAATAGGTCTATAATTAGCAATGTCACTTTTACTACCCGATTTGTGAACCGGAACTATCTGGGCAATTTTCCACTTGGAAGGATACATCCCGTGACGCAAACTCTTATTAAAAATTATGTAGAGAGGTTTCACAAGGGTTTCAACACAATTTTTCAAAAACAATGGTGGTATACCATCTGGTCCCGGTCCCTTGTTCACGTCTAAATTAATCAAAGCTTCTTTGATTTCATGTTCATTTATTAATTGAATGTTGAAATTATTCGTATTGCTGTTTTCAAATTGTATCAATGATGGGGTTGAGTCCGGTTCAAAAACACCTTGGAAGTAATCAGAAAATAATTGACTTATCGATTCGCTGTCTGTTGCTGTTTCGTCTTGGAAATGCATTGAAGCAGGTAAAGTTCTAGTTCGTCTTTTATTACTTAAAAAAGACCAAATTTTTTTTGGTTCTATTTTAATATTATTCTCAACTGACTGTATATAAACATTATAATCATTGGAAATATTTTTCTTGACCGTTTTCCGTAGAGCCGAAAATGTTTCATAGTCCTGTTGATCCTTATATGTTTTCCACTTTCTGTGGCTTTTATCTTTATCTTTTATTGATCTGATTGTCTGCCGAGAGAACCAAATTGGAAATTTTGATTTGTGGATGATCTTTGAAGGAACATGTACAGAAATAACTTCATAAATTTTTGAGTACAGAGCCTCAGTACATTCGTCAACATCCGATGCACTGAGTAAGTCTACCCAGTTGCAATGGCGAAATTCATTGTTTATCAATTCATAATTGGCATCATGGAATCTGTGTTTCTTGTAAGAATTACAAGGCATCGACCTAGTCTCTGAGGTATCCACCAAAACCTCCAAAGCAGGGTGGTGGAAGTCCTCCCTTACAAAAGGAGATAAACACCGACTAACTTCTATTTTAAGATTTAATGACATAACAAGATCTAGTACTCTGTTATTAATATTCGAGATATTAGAATGTTGCTTCAAATTCAATAAAGATATTTGATCGATGAAAAATTCACTTAGGGCATCAGTGGCGCGAGTTGGTTGAAAACATTCGAGTGCCGTGTCGTACACCCATTCGATTTTGGAAAAATTGAGATCACCAATAATGATGAAATCACTGTTTTTCTGACTATTTACAATTGTTTGTAACTTTTGAAAATATAAAACAAGATTATTCAGAACTGCATGAGGGGGTACATACATACAACAGATATTTATTCTCTTGACTCCATTTGACGTCACTGATACCCATAAGTCTTCTATAACACCGGTTGTCGACCATTCAGGAATAGTGCGAGACATGAAATTATCACTAACACTTATTAGTACTCCTCCACCCTCACTTTTACCACTGATTACAGGATCTCGATCCCTCCTATACACGCTGTATCCAGGCGGGAACAACTCAGCGTTAAAAATTCCGTCCTTTAGCCAGGTTTCAGAGATACAGATTACATCAAAATCGAAAGAGCAGCAAGATTTGAAAAATTCTGTTGTTTTCGTCCGGAGACCACGTGCGTTTTGATAAAAAATATTCAGTTTATTGAATGTGAAAGATGAATTACGTGAGCAGTCGTTACATAAGGAAACTGAAATCAATTTTTCAATTTTCGAAGAAGTGTTTCGTCCTTCACGTGGATAGCCCTACTTTCATCTGATTTCTTGATAAAAATTTTTACATCACGAACCCAACAATATTTGAAGTTTTGTTGGCGACAGAAATCTCTAGTTTTCTTGTATAGTACTTTATAAAACGGAGACAAATGTTCGTTGACATAAACAAGTTGTTCTTCGCTTGTATTAGGCATTTCAATAATTATTTTATTCGGTTTATGTTTACGCACAGCATCCATGAAATTATTTTTCAGCATAACATTAGCGAACTTTACGACTATGTTCTTAGGAGCATTTGGTTTATCAGCATTCGGGAACTGCATAACCCGATGTATTGTTTCGACGTCGCGATCATCTACGACAATGCCTATGACTTCCGCTATTTTCTTAACAATTGTGACAACGTTTTCCCCTCGTTTTTCGGGAACTCCACAAATTTCAATGTTATTCTTCCGACTCATTTGCTGGATACTTTCTAGTTCCCCTTTCAGGAGAGAGCACTCCTCTTTCATTGTGGAGACTTCACGTTTCAAAGTCTCCACTTGATTAATCACTGATTTGAACTCCTCCATTTTCGCGTTGAAATCATCAATTTTTTCACCATAGAAAGTGAGTGATTTGAAAACATCAGCTTGTTGACTTTTCAAGGCAACTGTGTCGCTCCGTATTAGATCTATTTTCTGCACCAGCTCATTAAGTACAGGAGACATCTTCCCCACATCAGACTTGCATTGTTTACAATACCAAGCAATACCACAATCAGCTGGGAGGTCAGTGAACCCAGACGGTAGTTTCGCACACTTCAGGTGATAGAAATCATGGCACTGACCTTGACATTGTGTACCAGGATTAGTGCGGTTTATCTGGGTACCACAAAAAACACATGGATTCGGCATCTCGACAAAAAAGCTCGACCGCTTTTTGCTCGGTGTATGAGGACTGATATATTCTATCGGTTGAAACCTAATTCACTTAGCTTACGCAATTTCGAAAGCAATGAGGAAGTAACAATGATTATCACTGAATTCACAACAATCTTTTCCACAAGTAGGTATAAGTTGAGGTATCAGATTCTCACAAAATACTCAGATATATACGATTTAGACGGAGCCAGAAAATAACCTGCTACACTCCACGAACAACACGAGATATTCGATCATCATCATCATTCGTAATAGGTCCAGAATGATTTTCTATAACATCACTTTGATTTTTTATTGTCAATTCCCTTTCTTTTTGGGGACCTTCAAATCCATTTATTTTTGAAAAATCACAAAATAGGTAACTAATATGAGGAGAATCTCGATTATTATCATGATACTCACCTTCTGTATAAGCACGTGTATAAATAAGTATAGTCAGTTTTGTTGCATGTGATGATTTCTGAATATTTACTGATGGTTCTGAAGTTTTTCACGAGTTTTGGTGGTTGAACAGAACTTCCTGGATTGTGTTTCAACTATTTCATTAACTTGCTGCATGTTTCGAAGAATTAAAAGCAATTACCAGCAAACAGACACAAAGTAAACCTCAGGAAGAAATAATCAAAATTCACTGGAAACAATGGTCGCCATATTTGTTGTCATTGTTGTTCATATACTCGCAAGACTTGTTAAGTTAGCCACCAGAGGCCGCACACTTTGTGATTCTCGCGAATACACAGACACTATGGCAAGCACTAACAGTCATACATAACCACAAATAAATTTATGCAAAAAGTGGAAACCAGTACACGAACATATGTACATATGACATTAATTTAGAAAGTTTTTCAAATTGAGAGAATTGGGAAAATACAATGCAAGCACTTGCTATTTTTTTTGCAATAGAAATTATTTATATCCAAGTTTATATCTAAATAGTGAGATAAAAGTAAAGTTACCGCTATTTTGAGTCACTGAAGCATATCAGTGTCAAAGCAGCTAACATATCAGTCCTTCGACACGTTGTTAGTTCCTACCCTAACAACACAGGGATGTCCTAGGTACGTCCCTTTTCTGTCCCGCGGTACAAGGACATGATTGGGGCATCCAGGGGATGTCGTCCAGTGGACATCCCGCCCGGTACATCCCTGTCCCTGGAATATCTGATATCCATTCACATCAGAGTCATTGAATTTCATCAAAGTATTAAGTTGCATTGTTTTGAAAATATTTGTTTTTCTTCCGGAAAATAATCGTAATGAAAATAAAGAATGAAGTTTCAGAACTTCTTAAGAAATTACCATTTTTCGCAAACAGAAATCGTACATGCATAATGCCCCTCATTTTCAAACACCCAAGAATGATATAATAATTATACCCAAATCCTAACAAAGTTGTATTTATTCTGGTTTCTGTAGTTAAGTCCTGTCTATGAATTTGTTTAGTACATAAATCTTCAGGAGGCTCAATAGCCAATGGAGTAAGATGCGTGCCTGATAAGCCAACCGATCGATCGATTTCAACCCCATTCTGAACTTTTGTGCTACGAAAATGATTCAAATGAACCACTGAACGTATAGATACATTCCTTTCAGTTCATCAGCGTATCATAGTAATAGTATGAATGTATAGTTGCCGTCAGACATATAAGATAAATAAAAAAAGACGCAAAAAATGGTCGATTAGCACTCCAATGCCGCCATCCAGGGTCGGATTAGTACATATGCGAAGAAATATTGTGATGCGTGCAGATTGTCCAGCTAAGTATGAATGTTATCAATAAGTTGATTCAATATCTGACTCAACCTTTCGGAGTATCCAGCCATTGTTAGAATATTAGCTGAAGAGCACTGTATTATACAGTGAGGGCGTGAAAAGTCCTTTCCCCCTTCAACTTTTGAAAAGGTAAAAAGCTACTTCTCTTTCAACTCTGACATGAAAATGGTTGTGGTCACGTGGCCTTGTGTCAAGTGGTCAAATCGGCCAATCGAAAAATCGGCCCTGCGGTTGCAAAATGACATGGTTTTGGAATTTGCTTCACATATTAATATTAATTGATAAAAAACTGAAAAATAACTTTTAATTGCAATGCAATTTCAAGTAACAATTATTGTGAAGTGCTCAAGAATGCTAGAAATGTTCATCGTTCACTTACTGACACGAGAAAATCGTTTTGGAATTCAATCCTAACGTTATTTACATTTTCCGAAGTAAATTTCAAACGCTTGTCAATAAAAGTCTTGGCCGATTTGCACGAATGAAACGGTGTTGGATAGAGAATCGGAAAGCCTTCAAAACAAGGTAGATACCACGTGATCCTTCTCTACATTTGAAAAAAAAGTTGATGGTGCCCACTTGATACCATAGGCCACGTGACCACAAACAATTTAATTCAAAGGTATTTCGACCTGAATTTTACCTGCTTCACTAGCTTGTTCTGTTCAAAAGTTAAAGACTTTTTACGTCTTCACTGTAGGTATTCAACTTATTGTAAGTATTGGGTGTATTTATCGAAAAAGCTGCTCACTCACGCAATTAGATATATTCAGCTTGAAAATCATTATTGTCATTAGAGTCATCCGACCCATCATGTAATTCCCAAGACCTGAAGAATGTTTTCATATTTTTATAATTATTGATATTCTTAAATAATGAATTAAGTAAACAACTGTCCGGTCGAAGACAAATTCGCTATATTAGCTTCGCGGATCGCATAAAAGTGTGATTATTATCACGTCCGACCCTGCATCGAAAAAAACATACATCATTGCCGCACGGGTCTTTGCATTTGCCGCGTCAAGTGTTACGTGGGGGCGATAGGTGGAATAATGCGAACAAAATGTGGACATTCCAATAGTTCAATAGTTCCATTGCAATTTTTTTCTAATAAAGTTTAGTTGGTAAAACTGCATTCAGCATACGATGTTTTTTTTTTCGAAAATTTTTTTTGGTACTTACGTATTTTTGTCTGAGAAACACGATTTCGACAATGATAATGTGAACAAACCACTATTTATCGAAGATATTTCAAAAAAAAGTTCGAAATTTCGACTCCTTTTCCCCCTTGTGTTGGATGCATTTACAGGTACTTGCTCTTCTTATTTTGTCATTGGACACTTTATATACTCATGCATGATGTACTTCAATGACACATTTTTATACAGAAAATTCAACAGGAAATATGATTTTTATGGCGACTTTATCACTCATATTCAGTGAACAAGCATACCAGATGACGGCCATTTAATTAATAGTCAAACCAGATACGAGATGTCAAATGTCAACAGAGGGCTTCTGAATGACATTACAGACGCCATTATTTCAAATGATATCCTTCCTTCTTTTCACTACATATGGATAAATCACAAGAAAATCATATTTCTAGTTGACTCAATAACAAAAAAAAATGTATCTCACATTGTGATATATATAAATTGTCCAATGATGAAAAAAGGGTAAATTGTTTTAAATTCAATCCAGAAGACAGGCGGAAAAGAAGGTGAAATTTGTAACTTTATAGTAAAATATCTTAATGAATAATGGTTTGTTCACATTTTCATTATCAAATTCGTGTTTTTCAGACAAAAATACGTAAGTCCAAAATAAAATTTCGAAAAAAAACCCATCGCATGCTAAAAGGCGTATATTTATATGCACTTATTCGCGAATTTCCTTCTCTAGATTATATTCATATTATCTGTATAAAGTATAAATTATCAGAATTTCTGACAGTCGTGATCGAAGAATGCATTAAGTATCTATTGAATGAATTGTATATACGCGAATGTTCAAACTTATTTATTTTTGTTGAATAACTTTTTGATGAATGGTGAATAATAGAATCATTACTCTGCATATATATCTCTTCAATGAAGTATATATAGATAACTGATCTCTGATTTACTTACTCGTATATCCAAACGAAGAGAATTAATAAATTCACATTCGATATTTGAACATTAGCTAGATATTTCAAATTCTTCAATATATACTCTGCATATATTTCTTCAATGAAGTATCTAGAACTCATCTTTAATTTACTCATATTTCCAAACGAAGAGAATTAGTGAATTCACATTCGATATTGAACATTAGCTAGATATTTCAAATTCTTGCACCACTTGCCCCCAACACTATGAGGTAGAGATGGAGAAGAAAAAACTATGCGTTTTTCTTACAATTGTTTCATTATCTTATACTGTTGACGGCAACTATACTTCGATGGTATACAGGGTGCCCCAGGTTAAACGTCTTCAATTTTGATAGGCGATAAAACAAAGTCTAGTTCTTTCCCGTTTTTCTATCGCCGATCAAATTTGATGACGTTCAACCTGGACCACCCTGTATATGTACATATCAACTGCTAATCGACCTTTATCGAGGTTCTTCAGCCCTATATCATTCCATATTTCAAGAAGAAATACTTTCCTAATCAATAATTCATCGTACCCTTTTCCCACTAGAGGAGACGCTATGCACTGTCATTCTGAAGTAAAATAAAAATAAAGATATATGGATGTCTTTCCTGAATATTTAGATCATTGTCTGCTAAATATGGAGAAAAAATCTAGTGAGCTGGAGTTTTTTTCTCCATATTTAGCAGACAATGATTTAGATGAAGTAAAATGCGAGATGCCGTTATCCAAGCGAAATACATATTCTTGTCCTTGTCTGACAAAACATATATGATCTACTTCAGAATTGTTTTTGGTTATGTATCATTGTCACTGCTGTCGAGTGTCCGTACTCCAAATAAAAAACCTCGAAACAGTCATGTGAAGTACATCAAGGAACTCTAGTTTACCCAAGGGTAGTTCGATGAATCCCATGTCACAGTCTGTACCAAATGCGGTGCCTCTGCCTAACCCATTTAATACAAAATCTGATCATCATCAACGTGATATCATATTTATTCGATTTTGATAAATATTGTTCACATTTCATCTTTCTAATGATAAAGCGCAGGCCTTTTGAACCTATGGCACCTTGGGATGCAGCCCGACAAGCCACTTCATAGATCCACCCCTGCACATACGGTTCGTTATCCTAGGATTAACAGATCGATAAACCCGTCCCCAGATGGCCATTCAAATAGGATAATAGTTATATCCTAATCATTTGCGTAGATTATCTGATTTATCATTAGATGACCGTCAACCTCGAAACATAATCCATTAGATGATTGTACCAATTAATTTTAATATTCAAATTCATCTGGCTACGTGAATATGATGAGACTTATGGCAAGTCGAAACAGTCTGTCTTGCATCAGCTGACAATCGATTCACGAAATTTCCCTAGAATTTTTTTGTCTTGAGATTCTAGGTTTATCACCATCTGTTAGTGGAACATTAAACCACTTTGAGAATTACAGGTGTTGCGATAGTCTACAGAATCTGACATGGATGTCTTTTCTGTAAGTATATAGACGTAGGGGTCTATATGCACGACTTAATCGCAAGGTATGATTGATGAATCTACCTATACACCTTGCACTTAAGCCACTAGATGGCTATGAAGGCTAGATCGTCCTTCTGCCCCCTCAGGGCTTCGACTTGTTCGATATATGGAGGTACCTTTCGTGAATCGATTGTCAGCTGGCCAGTGCAACTGATGAGACTTATGGCAAGTCGAAACAGTCTGTCTTGCATCAGCTGACAATCGATTCACGAAATTTTCTAGAATTTTTTTGTCTTGAGATTCTAGGTTTATCACCATCTGTTAGTGGAACATTAAACCACTTTGAGAATTACAGGTGTTGCGATAGTCTACAGAATCTGACATGGATGTCTTTTCTGTAAGTATATAGACGTAGGGGTCTATATGCACGACTTAGTCGCAAGGTATGATTGATGAATCTACCTATACACCTTGCACAGTGTTGCCACAGGCTCTGAAAATTTCGTGCCAGATTGATCTTTCAAAACGGGCCAGATTTCTGTAATTCGGGCCAAACCCTCATCTTTGCCATTATAACCTATGAAAACATGGTACTCCATTTTGGATTTTTTAGGGAAATTTAGTTCAATTTAAGTAACTTATATATCTTGTGTACAACATACATTACAATATCCAATAGGAAAAAATACAATAAAAGTTACAAATTTTTTATATTATTTTATTTTATCATCACAAACAGAACATCACAAAATACAAGCTCATAGGTATATTATATATCTATACATATATATGTATAAATATACATACATATCACAATCTGTTATAGGAACATAAAAACACTATATACTAATACAGGTACAAAACAAAATCAACTTTCATTCAGTTTCTGAATTTTCGCTTCAATAAACTAGGTTTTGGATCCCAAGTATAACATGTGTCATTTTTTAACAGTTGTTTAATGTGCATTATATTTGAACACGTACTTATATGAAGTCGGTTGCGAACTTTTGTTTTCATGAGAAAGAGCTGAGAAAAGATTCTCTCTACAGCTGCCGAAGAATGAGGCAAAACTAATAATGGTTTAACAAAATTTATGAGGAATGGAAACATAGGTTCCTCCATGGCATTTTTTAAATTGAACACTTGGTTCCAAAATGATTCTAAATCTGAATCAATATGATTTTTCAATTCTGCGACATCTGGCAACAATCGCCATTCACTATTTAGTTTCTCTATGTCTTCAACTAAATTTGGAAAATATTTCAAGCTCTGGGTAGCAATACTAGTCACTTCTCCTGACACGGCATTTTTTGGATTGAAAACCTTGAGAAATTTTAAAATAGGATCATCAAAATCAAATCTACATTTTATTTGGATCACTAGTTCAATGTAAAACTTGAGGCAATTGAGTTTAAACTCTTTAATTTCAGTTTCACCTACTGATTGTTCTTGAGCAAGAAGCACTTCTACTTTGGTCCCTAAATAAACATTTTCAATGTTTAAAAAATTGTTTGGATTTCTTGGATCTATGTTCTTCAAATTATCTTTATTTTTTTCAATGTAAGCAGCTTTCAGAAAATTTCTCAAAATATTTCTGTAAAGATCTGACACCTTATCCAGTAATGTGTGAATTTTTACTTTTTCTGACTGAAATTCTAAGTTGAGCTTGTTAACTATGTCTAAAATATAACTTAGAAAAGATAAATATAATTTGTGAATTGGATTTTTCAACCCAAGTAATATATTGTTACAAATCGACAAATTTTGATGAAAACATTCATTGGTGAAAAACAATATAAGTGGATCCCAGTTTTCCAAAACTCTGTCTACAGCTGCTTGTAGAGATAGCCAACGTGTCTGGGCGGGATGTAGGAGCTTGTGAGGTTTTAAATGACAAAATATCTGGCATTCATTGAATTGGTCAATTCGTTTGGAACTATTGGAAAAGTAATTGTATACATCCCTAATGAAATCCTCTATTTGTCTGGGCAATTTTCCAGCAGCAGCTGATGCACACAAATGAACAGAATGACAAACACACCCCAATGTGTATATATTCGGCAAGATTTCTTTAAATCGGGCCTGGACCCCTATTCTATTTCCCTTCATAACTGCTGCATTATCTGCAGCAAAACCAACAAGGTTTTCCATAGGTATTCCTAGTTTGTTGAAATTATCAATTATTGCTGAAAATATTGACTCCGCAGTGCAATCATTTAGTTTTAGCAAACCAAAAAATGAATCATTTACCTTTTTATTATAATCATCATAGAATCTTATCACCATTGCTAGAGATTTTTCAGTGCTTATATCTGTAGTTTCGTCAATGAGCAATGAAAACTTGCTTTTCTTCAATATATTTGATAGATATTCCAACTGTTCAAGATTTATGCACTCATTAGTTAAATATGTAGCTTTGGTGCGACTGCAGTTGATATTTTTGGCAATATCTGAGTCAGGGCATATACTTCTTATGAACTTTGGTAAGTGATCTGCTAATAAAAAAGGTAAGTTGTGTTCATGCAAAAATGCACAAATTTTCAACTCTGCTCTCTTTACTTGCTGGTGTTTTTTTAAAACTGCTTCACTTTCTAAGACGTTGGTTATTTTTGGTGTATTTCTCAGCTTCGAACAGTTTTTTTTATGGGATGCTGCCTCTACATGTCTTTTAATGTCATAGATTTTGAATCCTAAATGTTTGTTGCAAGGATAGCACAATAATTTATTATTATCAAACCTCAACCACGGGTAAATCTGTAGCCACTTCTCTTGAAATTTATGCTTGTAAATATTGAGATTCTTTTTCTGAACCACAGGCTGAACAGATTCCACCATGTCTTCTGTATGGTCTTCTTCATTTCCGCTTTTGTCAAATATGCTTCCATTATCTTCCACCTCTACCTCTAAAGATACATTCTGGAGTTCCGCTTCAGCCTCAGAGTCAGTCTCAGTAACCACAAATAATGTACTCTTACACATACTATGACTACTACTACTACTAGGAGTACTTGGTCCTGCAACTGCAGCTCCATGATTTGATTTTAGCTTCTTATTTTTACTGCAACAGCTAAAAAAATATTATTTATATAAACAAGGAACCAGAAATTTCAAGATTATTTCTCACTCTGATAGGGAGCCGGAGTCATTCAAATCAAATTTACTACTAGATCCTCCACTTATTCCAGCATCATAATTGGGTTTCAGGTTCTTCAGGTTTTTAATGACATATCTAAAAAATATTTTCAACATGAATAAAATTCAACAAACCAGGAATTTGAAGTTAATTTCTTACTTATCCATGATTAATCAAAATCATAACTTGAGAATGAATAAACTTTTTCGACTTTTTCTAATCGAATCACCAACGGTAGTCAACATTGTCACACTGCTACAAATCAACATTACAACATTCAACATAAAACCACAAACCGCATGAACAATGTTATGAATTGACATTGACATATCATTATTGACATATTGAAATGTCAAACTTTTCTTCTTCTTCTTCATTCTCTGATTAACCCACATGTCGTCAAGGATAAGGAAGGCTGTGACTATGTGACCGTGGCCGGTTCCGGTAGTGGCCCCAAACGCTAATGCACGTTCAGATTAGGGGATTAGAGCTACTCAAAGAACATTGAGAACAATATAATGTATAAAATATCAAATGGAAAAATGGGCCAAATTCGAGAAAGGGTGGCCAAAGGGCCAATTGATCACAAAAAGGGCCAGATCTGGCCATATTGGGCCAGCTGTGGCAACACTGACCTTGCACTTAAGCCACTAGATGGCTATGAAGGCTAGATCGTCCTTCTGCCCCCTCAGGGCTTCGAATCCTACATTTTGATGGAAATATATCATTAATCGGTTATTTTACCATGAACTGACAAAGATAATTGATTGAAGGGACTGACAGGTACACATGGTTCAGCTCAGAACCTATAGGGTCGTAATCCTCTGAAGCTTTGGCTAAATTAATGAACGTCAATTCGCAATAACTTCATACAACTTATTGATATGGAATAAAAACAGGTATCAGACTTTCATATTGTCATAATTATGATCTCAGAACAGTTCTTGATCTGTTCCTTCTACACCAAACAATTATTTTTAATACCAATTAAATGTTTTCAACTTGTGTGATCATACATTTTTCACGAACAGAGAACACCCAATACATCCTACTCATTAGACCAAGACGAATATTCATTTTATTTCCATGAAAATTCACACAATTCAATAATAATTATGTTCACTTTCAATTAAGTTAGTAACATGTAACCAGATTCAAGCTGTGCAGACAAACATGCTCTTGAAGTAATATAACTTCTATAGGCTAAGTCGGTACATAGATTAACATAACCGTTCGTAACTTTTTTTTTCTATTTCATACTGTTACCAAGATATTATGCAGCAAAATCAATACCTGAATTATTACATGAGTGAGGGTGGGAAGTGAGGGCAGGAAGTAGAGGTGTGTAATGTGACACTTTCCAACCTTCAACGACGTTAGATATATTGTATATTCTTTTAACTGTGACGTTAGTAATGACAACATTACATATATGGTTGTAAATAAAATATTTTTTTCTGTGACGGAAAAAAAGTTTGGCATTTCATCTCTGTTGGCAGGTTATAAAATGTCACTTTTTGTAAATTACTTTTTTACTTTGGGAAAAAAGTGAGTACTTTTTTCCCGGATATCTATCAGATATATAAACACTGTTGATGGCTTTTGTTGTGCTATAGTTCCGAATAATGAGTCAATAATACCGTCTCCGAGAAAGGACTGAAAGTCCTTTTATCTTCCATTCGACTTCGCGGTTACTCACCTATTTTACTAAACAACCACTAAATTCGCAATTTTTTGAAATCAAATCGCAGAATTAGACTGACAGAAGTGACATCAGATATTTGATTACTTCAAAAAAATGAGAAGAAAAAGAAGAATGAAAAATATTCCTACAACGCAGGTGTCCCTACTGTTGAAAACTTAAAATTTCACGTCGATAATTTTCAGATTTCAAAATAACGTAATATCTTCTCAATATTGATTCGTCCTTTCTTCTGTCACAGAAAAAAATAGTGTATTATACACGAGAAAAATATTAGATTTTAGCACACAACCTGGGGCTAAAATCTACTACTTTTTTTCCTTCTATAATAAATAACTATTGTTGCCTTTGTATTCATCAAGTGAGCTGGATTATGTTCAGGATGTACATTGTCACAATACCAGAAGACAAGCAGTAAAATGATTTCTATATATAAATTCTGGAAATATTGTCTGTGATAGTTTATATAATAATAATAATAATCGTCTTTATTTCTTTCTAATATATAGGTAATTTACATTATTACAAGTTGTTTTTCGAGCATATAAAAGAAAAGGGCGGAGTTCAATTTATGTCAAGATCAAATCTCTAGTAAATTGCTCTTCCACTCAACCCTGGTAGTACTGCACTGAGCGAGGAGCATCAACAAAATAAGAAGAAATAAATATGTTGCTAAGAATTTGATCGCAGAAACCTTCCAAGAATGAACCATCGGAATTGTAGAAGAAAATTGTGTAAGTATATCTACTGTTGGGAAAAGATATATTCTTTGAGTTTCGATTTGAACTCTTCCAATGATTGCTTTTTCATGTCTGTGGGTAGAGAATTATAAATATTGCATATCTGATAAGAGAATGAACGTTTGAAAAATTCAGTTTTAAATTTTGGTGGTGTAAGGCTACCTCTGAACCTTGTGTTCAAATTGTGCACGTCCGAACGAAAAGTTATTTTTCGATGTAAATAACATGGCTTTTTACTCAGAACAATTTTATGAAACAGGCAAGCAGAATGAAGAAATCTTTTTTTCTCCATATTCAACCACCCAGCCAGAATTAGTTTATTAGTGATCCTCTCGCGTTTTCGCACACCGTATATAAGTCTCAAACAAGAATTTTGTACTTTTTGTATTTTTGCACTGTATATCTGAGTAATATTTGGACCATAAAGAGAATCACAAGAGTTGGATATTGAAAATACCATCGTCTCACATAATAATAATTTTATATTCGATAATAGAAAATGCCTTGCACCATACGAGGTCTTCAAAGACATGTATGCTCTTTGAATGAGCTTATTCACATGTTTGTCGAATCTCAATTTTATACAAAAGGTCTGGTATTGTTCAATAATTTGCCCTGTGAAAAGATATGTGTCACTAGATAGTTTCAAAGCATCGGGTGTGTTATTTTTTGTGAAAGAAAATTATTGATTGAACAATTGAGAAAGGAGAAATCTGTAAACTACCCTTATCCTAAAATATATGACGCTCCTATCTGAAGGACCTCGGTCGATGGCCATTTGGTTTCAACCAATAAAGAACATTTATTATTATTATGACGTTATTCATGCGTCTGTATTTGAGTTCTATATTTCTATGTCTTTATTTATTGACTTATCGTATCTCATTGTAGATTCAACTGTAATGAAGAGCACTGTGCTAATATAGTTTGATAAATATAACAGAAAAGCATGAAAAATAAAAATCCTCTGAAATTGAGAATTGACATTCTCTTTAGAATCGGATGAATAATATATATGTAATATGATATGAAAATATAACTTTCACCCAATCATGGAGATCAAACTTGAACGATGAAAACTTATTATTTTTATAGACCTCCAATCGCAGATTCGTGATAAGATTTTTCAATTCAGATTTCTTTCCACGTCCTGTATGATGATTATCAATCTGTCATACATCCAAAAACAACAAATGAATGCCTTGAAAAGAAAGCGCTCTGGCAGAGGTTCGAAAGATCCAATTCTGATGAGGACTACACATGCCACATTTTTTTTTTAATCATTTGACGAAACCTCTCCGGAAAGCCAGACAAGAATTTGAGAATCGGTTGATGAACAATGGCCCAAATGCACACGCTAACGTTTGTCCACTCGTTTAACCATACCTCTAGTCCGCAATAACGAAGGTAATAATTCAGGGACAACATAGAAGTAGCGGAAGCATTCATGGACTATTCCACCTCAATTGAATGCTGATACCAGGTAGGTTGAAAGTATTAATAACATCAAGTTCGACCCAGGAACCGTCTGTGAATTTCTTCGTCATTTACGCCCAGACTCATTACCCGGAGCCGACAATATCCATCCAATTTGATTATCCAGATCCGCAGAACGACCATGCGAGCCACTCCCAATAATAATTGATAGATCCATATAGAGACTAGTGTTTTTCCCGATGGATGAAAATGGCTCTAGTAACACCCATTTTCCAAAAAGGAAACAAGTCATCAACGAATAACTATCGCCCAATCAGTCTAACCTCTGTCTCATCTAAAGTAATGGAACGAATTATATGTAGAGCACACATCGAGTTCCCAGTAAATAATCACGTTATTGATCAACATCAGCATGGAATTCTTCCTACTCGTTCCGTCGTCACAAGTCTACTTTCTACCATCAACTCAAGGAAATTGTATCTTGATAATAGTGAACACGCTGATATAGTGTAACTGGACTTCACAAACTAGAACGAAGTGGGAGACAATCTCTTGAAGTGGATCGAGTGTTTTCTGACTGATAGACGTTTCTCAGTATGGGTAGGTGATAGCTCTTCTGAATCACTTGCTGTTGTGAGTGAAAAACCGCAAGGCTCTGTTTTAGGGCCCATTTTGTTCCCGTTGTATGTATTTGACGAAAAATTGCCTGTCCTCGGCACTGTCATATGCAGACGACCTCTAGATATACTCCGCTCCATCACCCACTCTCCAGAGTGACCTAGATTCCATTACTGATTGGTGCTCCAAGTGGTGATTCCCGTGAATCTTGCTAAATGCTCTGCCCTCTCTCGGAAAATGAAATCCTGAACATTGTTCCCCTGTCAACGGCGCCAACTTAACATCAGTGACTCAGCAAAATTACCTCAGCATTATTATCACAGGAAACCTATGCTAGGCCGAACAAATATTATATATGATGAAGAAATCATTCCAGGACTTGACCCCCGATGCATTCCCCAAAATCTAGAACTCTTACATCTGGCTCTATCTCGAGTTTTCAGTGAGTATCTGGTCTCTCTACTTAGACAGGACATTAATCGCCTTGAAGGAGTTCAAAGAAGAGCTACCAGAATTCCTTGTGGTTTCAAGAAGATTGTCTACCAGATAGCGGTCAAGAAGCTATCTGGGACAGCCCTGTACTGATGAGAGCCAACAGCTCGAAACCGGTCTGCAGGTAGTCAGCGTTCCTGAACCACTTAAGCGCAGCTCAGCGTTTAGGAAGGAAACA